TTTAAAAGACGATATCTCCGTTTGCATTGAACTTTCAGCGCCGCAACTTTGCAGATATTGTTTATGCTCAAACAGCAACATTACACACTAACTAACGTTAAAAAAGTGAACCCCTTTAAGGTTTTGGAGTGGCCAAGTCAAAGTCCGGACTTAAATCCAATTGAGATGCTGTGGCATGACCTTAAACATACCATTCATGCTCAAAAACCCTCCAATGTGGCTGAATTAAAACAATTCTGCAAAGAAGAGCGGGCCAAAATTCCTCCAGCGACGTGAAAGACTCATAGCCAGTTATCGCAAACGCTTGATTGCAGTTGTTGCTGCAAAGGGTGGCCATTCAAGTGTGAAAAATATGCAAAAAATAAAAAATAAAAAACAGGAAGGGGGCAAAAACTTTTCACGGCACTGTAGATGGATTGATAGAACGCAGCAGAGAAGTTTGTTTGTTTATTTTATTCTTAACGTCATTCCAGCATCTAGGGCTATATTCATGGCGAGAACCAGTTAATCCATACACAAGTTGATCCATTCACAAATCTTGTCTTTACACATGTCCGGGGACAATTTAGAGTATGCAACAGAGATACAACTCTGCAAAACAGACAGATCGCTAGAACGCTAAACAGATAGATGGATAGATAGAATGCTAGAGCAACAGAATGCTGCTAATTAGAATGCTAATTAGACAGACAGACCGACAGAAGGACAGATAAAATGAAAAAGACAGATACAAAGTTAGACCGATAGACAAGGCTAGAGAGACAGAACTCTACAACAACAATGGATAGAATGCTTGAACACTAAATAGACCGACAGATATAAAGGATGACAGATGGATAGAAAGATCAATTATCTGGAAAAATATTTTGTTTAAATCATCTGGAAAGAAATCATCTGGAAACCGAATTGCAATTGTACCATTTGACTCAAGTAAATAATTTAAAGGGGTCATCGGATGCCCATTTTCCACTAGTTGATATGATTCTTTAGGGTCTTAATGAAAAGTCTGAATTAATGAGTAATGAAAACATACTTTGGTTTTACATACTCAGCTTTTTTCACAGCAACCTGTTTTGTTGCATTTCCCTTTAAATGCTAATGAGCTCTGCTCACCCCGCCCCTCTCTTCTGTGGGGTGACCAGCCGTCCTGTTTACGTTAGCCGAATTTAGCTGCATTTAGCCAAGCAACTTGCTTACTAGCACATTATTAGGAAAGACGATTTGCAAAGATTCATAAAAAACCCTTATACTCCATCTGTAGGTGAAGCTGGATCACGAATGATTCGCGCGAACATTTAGACGAATTTAGGTAGATCAGAGGGCGCATTCCCTTCAAAAACGAAAGTAACGTTAATCCTCTGTGTCTTCAGCGGCTCAGATGTCGGGAGTAAATGACAACTGCTATGTTCATTATTACATCCAACAACAAAATACCTCAATCGCTTAGGAGCCATTCTTGTCTACGTCCCTGCTCCGGCGTCGAAACAATGGCGGACTGTACACAGCTCACTCAGGGCGGGTCTAAGGTAAGACGGCAGTGTCAATCAACTATCATGGGGAACGACCTTGGTTTGTGTGACGTCACACAGCCAAGAAGCTGAGAATGGCTTGATTTGAAAAAGGGGATATTATTTATAGAGATTAAAAAAGACCACTGGGTGGATTTTTATCATTATAGGGTGGTTGTGAACACACACTGCCAACACACATTTATGTTCAAACAACATGTAAAAGTGAGTATTGCATCCGATGACCCCTTTAAAGATACATGCAGTAGATTATTAGAATGGACTCAAATGTTTTTATTATTGTTATTATTATTATTCATACATGCACCATCGACATATTCTCGTTGAATAAATGAATAGGATGAATCACAGAGAGAGCAAGAGGATGTTTAAACTGTAAAGGCTTAACTGACGTGGTTTGTTGATGAGATTTGAGGTGAGGTTCTTAGCCAAGCCGCATCCTCCTGCCACATGCCATCCTTGATGGAGTAACGCAATATCAAGGTCTAGACACTAAGCACTGTATAATTGACGAAGTGTAAAACAAGATGGGCATAAAACCTACCTCAGAAGTCCTGCCCTCGACTCACAATGTTGTTTTAATGAGTCACACTCTCTCCAGACCTCAGGCATATCATTTTATAAATGTTTGCTTTTGGGAACGAGGTGAATATAGAGCCCAGCATGTCTTCAAGCTGAAAGCAAACATTCAGAGACCATCTGTTGCATTGTGCACTTGACATCTGAATGATCCATTTTATGGTTACAAATTAAAAGTGATTGGGATTGCATTATTGCTATATAACAAAACCTTTTTTACAATGATATGAGCGATTACAATGATAGTCAAGTGAGTTACAGACATAGTGAGTTTTTTTTTGCAACAAAATACATTTCCATAACCATCTACCCTCTCGCTGATCATTAGAATTAGATTTTGTAATTATTTTTATTTTTTATTTTTTTTTGCGCTACTGTGCCCTTAAGACTATGTGAACACTCTCTTTGCATGTAAAATAAGTCATAATGCTTACTTGTCATCGAGTCCAGTGTAGCTGGTGCAATAGCAGTCTCTTTGAGAAGTCTGCATCACATTGTGACATGATCACAAAACTGAGCTGAAATGTGCCACAAAACTGTTAAAGCCAGGCTGAAATGATCAAGCACTTATAAACTTTAAATAATAATGATAAACTTCATCCAAACCTACCTAATATTGATACTCGTATATTGCAAATTATAGACACTCTGAAATAATATCTACTACTTATAGTGTTTAGACATTTGCGAAACACTGAATAGGCTTTGTTGGAGTTAATGTGTTTATGTGTTGATATGATATTCATTTTGCAGGTTTACTATAGCTAAACTATATTTCTGGAATGGAGGATAATTTTGTCAACTACTAAAATACTGCACACTGAACTTGTTTTTCCAGATGCAGCCCAATTAAAACACTGAAGGCGCAATTTAGCACATTTTAAGAGACTTCAAACTGCACATTTGATGTTCAGATAAAATCTCAAAGCATTTTCTGGTGGTGCAGTACTGAGACGTTGCTTAGAAGTTCATGATTGTTCCCTCTCTATGATTTGGAATAACAAAGCCAGGTGCATAATGACACTATTTCATATGGAGCACCGGGTTACCATCTGCACTGCTGAGCGCTTTTATGTGACAGGACTAACAACTGCAGCCATCAGTAAGAACAAACGGGTGAACTTATCGCCTTTACTAATGCTGGATTTAGAGTTATTTAACTTCAAAACTGTTAGACACACATATGGCTTTTTTAATGAGCAGCATTGCCAAAATGAATAGAAATTGCTTTGTTTTACCAGAGTAAATACTTGCTTTTCCCTTTAATTAACCATAAAGTGGTATATACAGTAGTGGTTAACACAGTAAGCTCTCACACATTTTAGCTGCGATGCAAACATGGCTGAAGTAATTCTCTATAATTTGAGAATTCTTTATAATATTAATAAAAAATGGTTTTTGGAACTTTTCTACGAATATTAAACCCCTTACGAAAATTAACTATGGTTTTACACACTCTAAAAAATGCTGGGTTATTTCAACCCAACTTTGGGTCAAATATGGACTAACCCAACCGTTGGGTTAAATTTTTACATTCAATTTTTAACCCAAAAGTTGGGTTAGTCCATATTTGACCCAAAGTTGGGTTGAAATAACCCAGCATTTTTTAGAGT